TAAAATAAAATAAAATAAAATAAAATAAAATAAAATAAAATAAAAATGAAATTGCCTGATTTTTAATAATGACCCAAACTTTTCAGGCTTGTTGCTGAATCCTGTGGTCATGTTTGACTGTCATTGTAGTTTCTAAGTATTTTCTGTACAAAGAAACGGGGTGTTACTGGGATTTGTAGTCTTTCTTCCCTTCTGGACTTTCTGTACAAAACAGTGAGGAAACCTTGTGCAAGAGGAACAACTAAATTAAGGTATTAATTGTGTGAGCATTTGTCAGATACAATTTACTACCTCTTATACTTTTCCTGTTTCAGTTATCTTTTTGTATAACAGCTAGTTCCAGAAGAAATGAACACTAGCTCTACTAAACCTCTGCATCTGCAAGATGGTCAGGTAGAATTCTTTTGCTCCCAGCAGGCATTCATCAACTTTCATGTCTTCGGAAGATGTGACTGGAGAGCATGACTTTCTAGAAACAAATTAATTACCTTTTGAAGAAGTATTTACATGGCTATGTATATGTGTCTCAATCAATTGTCAGTCTGTGGAACGTTTACAAGAAAACAGGTATACATAACAGTTTGAGTCTGTAACAGCCTGTCATCTTTCAGGGTTTCTCTCATTAAGGAGGTGTGCCGAGGAAAGAATTTATCTCCCTGTTAACATTACATTTCGTAAAACACGTGGCAGACTTTTCTGAGTCAAATAAATTCATCCCTGGTATTTTTTTATACCAATAAGAATATCAAGAATCTGTATTCATTCTCGACCTTTGAAAATGAAACAAGTATCTCTAGAAGATCAGGTTTTGCTTAGTGTCTTTGTGCAATATTATCCACTTCTTAAATTCCTAGGATTGATTGGGAACTCTTGACCTTTAAAATGCATACTTCTGTAGCTTAAGGCAGTTACACTTTGGGTATTTCAGAATGGGCAGCAATCAGCAGCAATACAAGGTGCTAACTCTTGGGGGACAGCATTGCTAGCAGAAATGGACAGTAGCTGGGAATTACAGAAGAGTGAGTGGCAGGTATTGCAGGAGCTTTTAGCAGTAGAAGTAGATACAGCTCTTTGCAGATGTTAGACCCTCTGCAG